ACACAAGACAGTCTAACACAGCTTCTAAATACAAAGGCAAAACAGAAGTTTGTAGAAACAGTGGCAAAGACAGCATGAGACACATTCTATGAACAAGTCTGAAGAATACAGTATGAAAAGATCAATGAATGAGAGAAGAAAGAAGGCATAACAACCAAAATGAAGAAAAAAGAAGTTAGAAAGAAAAATCTAAAAAAGAAAAAAAAGGCAAATTAGCGAAAGATTGAGGAAGAAAAGAAACAAGCAAAGAAAAAAAATGATAGAATTAATAAAAAAGCTAGGAAGACAATATTGAGACTTGTCATGAAAGGAAGAAGACCCTTTCACTATAGACTTTAAGTAGTCAGACAAGTAGCCTACTTCTGTTAGAAGTAGTGCAGCAGATTGCACTTAGGTACGCTATGGGTGGCTGGGTAATGCTAGACTTAGTTGTTAAAAAAATCTATATAATTGCAAAAGTAATTTCAAGAACCTTAATAAAGTACTAGTGTGACTGCTTAAGGATAAATAAAAAAAAAAAATATTAAGAAGTGATTATGCAGATATTTTGAAATATTAATTTTTATGTTTTTGGTTAATAAAGAAAAGAATAGGGTTATAGTAGATTTTCCAAAATAAGAATGTGTAGGTTTTTTCTTACTCTATTCCAGATTTAATTTGAACTAGTTGTGTAAGGCCATAATTCTAGCAAGTTAAGAAGTATGTAATTCTGTAATAAGATTTATATTAGAAATTGAAATGCCAATTTGTTTGCAGGCATCTTGAAGTCTTGTAATGTTAATTTTATCAAAGGTCTTGAATATATCTTAAAATAATATTTAAGCTTCTTTGTTATTAGCTTTGTAGTATTTAATTGTATTATATAAAATTTGAATTGAAATGTAGATAAAGGAGTTTTTAGAAGTAGCAAAATTAAGATTAAAGAAGAAGTTATTAAAAGTAATAATTTTGTTTAGTCTAGATATAAAATTTTTGTAAAAGTTTTTTTAAAGAGTTTAATAATAGATATAAGGTGTACTTAAGTAAGTATATAGTCCCAGTTTGATTTTTTTAAAATAAGAAAAATATTAAAAGATTTTATTTAATAAGAACTTTTTGAAGTTGAAAATATTTATTTAAAAAAGTTTAAAAAGGTTTTGTGCTTTAAAGCTTACATATTTAATATGTTTATAGCAAATTTTAGAGAAGCCAGCAGCTTTTTGATTTAAAAGATTAGAAATAATCTTTAGTTATTCTTGTTGTATTATTTCTTAAGTAAGATTTTAATAGTAATTTTTGAGTTTAGAATGTAGTTTATAAAGATCAGAGTATTTACTAGTTGATAAAATAATTTTAAGAGGTTTTAATTTAAGATAAATAGTAAAATAAGAGTAAATTGTATTGAGTATTTTATCATACTCAATTAAGAGTAAGTTATTAGTTAATAGTTTGTTAATATGTATATTGTTATACTTTTTAAAAATCTTTTTATAGAAAAGTTTATGAGTTTCAGAAAAGAGTTTGTTTAAATTATCAATTTTTTGTTTAATTTTATTATAAATAATTTGTTTTTGATAATAATTAAGAGCAGTTTTGATAAGATAAAGTTCATTTTTGAGATGAAAAAAAGTAGGTAATAGGTTTTAAATTGTATTATCAGAATATTTAGACAGATAGTTTTGAAATAATATACTAAAATTAGATGAATTGATATAATTTTTAGAAATAGAATTTCTTTATAATGATAATAAAGTTGGAAATGCTTGAAAGGATTATTTTTTTAAATGTCTTTGATAGTGTTTACTTTTTTAAATAGAATATATTTAGAAGTAGTTTTAATTAGAGCTTTGTAAATTTTGTTCTAAATATTGTTAAGTTGGTTTTAATTAGAGATCTTGAGAAATTTAATAAATAATTGTTAAAGATTTTGTGTAGTTTGAGTAGTGTAATTCTCAAAACAAGTTTTAAGACAGTTTTTCTAAAGAGAAATTATATTTTTTATTGTTTGTAAAGTTTTGGTTTATTAATAATAATAGAGATTTCTAAGGTAATAAGATTGTTATTAAATTCTAATAAGTGATTTTAAAGTATAATAGTGTATTTAATATTTGTAATTAATAGATTGGTTCAGATTTGATTAATTCTACTTTGTACATTAGCTTGTTGAAAAGTGTAATTAGTATTATTAAAAAAAGAGTCAATAAATATCTTTATATTAAAAACTAGAAAGAAATTTAATAAGTTGATGTTTTGAAATAGATAATTTTTTTGATAGAAATTTTTCTATGTAAGGATTAGAAACTCTATTGAAACTACTTATAATTATAGTTTTGTAAAATGAGCTTTAAGTAAGTAAGATTGCATATTTAACAATTTCATTTTACAATTATTTCTTTTCTTGAATTGGAATATAGATTTGAAGAATTCTAATAAGAGTGTTTTTAAAATATAAGTCAAGACCAACAATATAATTTTTGTAGTTATGAGAACATGCAATATATTTAAAGATGTTTTTGTAAATAAGAATTTTTACTTTAGCTTGATATAATTCTTGAAAAGAACTCCAGAAGCTGAAGTAGTAATTTATTGAATAATTCAAAGATTAATTTTAATAATAATCTTTAAGATTGAAATAGGTGATAAACTAAACTAGAAAAAGAACTATAAGATGAATTAGTAGATAATATAGTTTAAGACTATATAGAATATGAAATACAGTAAAAAATCTATATTTGTTAATATATTTGTTTATATATTTATTGGGTTTTATAATTTGATGCATCTGCACTGCAATGCATCCCTTTCACGTGACTATAATATATCATATATTAATATATATTCTAATCAAATTATAGCTTTATTTTAAAACAGATGGATATTAACTATTTTAAAAATAAATTAAGCAATTGCATTGAAATCGAAAATAGTACTGTATTTAAACCAGCAAAAAAATTTTGCAGATTACGTGACTTATGTTCACAGGATTTTCCAATATGCATACTGATTCGATATCAATATATCACATTATAGTTAATTAAAGTTTCTGGTACAAGTTCAATGTTATCTTTAACATTATTTATATTTCAAGAATGCGAGTAATCTGTTATCCTTTGCTTCGCAAAGGATAGTATATGCTTTTACTACGGTTGTCACCTCCGTTACAGTATTTTTTTATACTAAAATCTCAATAAATAAATGACTCATAGTTGCCTCGCCCTAACCCTAAATTTAAACAAAGGACTTGAACTAACAATTAGAAAATGTAAATTACAATATAAATTACATTGTCACGTTAGTTATAACTATACTGTCACTGAAACAAAAATGCATTCATAAAGATGTTAAAACAATTATTCTTTATGCTATTACTAGTTACAATATAAACCTCAACTAGAATAGCATAAAAAGCAATAGTTCTGTCACCTCTCTAGTTAGTCAAGTAAACTGCAATCAAATATAAATGATACATAATTAGCTATAATACTAACAGTTAATGCTAAATACAGAAATAATGCACACTAAATCACTATTAGCTATTCTAATCCTTCTTATCAGTAACCCTTTTAGAACACATAGCGATGTTATGTCCTGATTCTTTACAGTAACTGCAAAGATTTGGACCACGATCACGCTTTCTTTTACCTTTATGTACTAACTGTTGGTTTGTATTATTTTTATTGTGACTAGCTGATTTTGGTCTGCCTTTGGTATTAACAACTAATGGATTTTTAAGTTGAACAGTTAGGCATGTATTCTCTTTATCAGAATCATCACTTACATCCGCTTGACGTATTTTAGCAAGTTCCTCTTCACGTTTATGCACATCATCCAAATAATTTTCAATCAACTGAATAAACCCATAGTCACGATGTAACAGGCATTTATCAGTTGCAGTACGTATTAAGCTCCACACTTTCCCGTAAAATAGTTGTTCTTCTACTAAATTATTATTTATATCTTCTTTACTATTCATACTACTAAATTGCTGAGGCAATTCGAAAAACTCATCACTATAAGTTATTTGATTATCATCCACAAACCGTTGTCCATAATAGTCTCACTTATTTAGTGCATCATTAAGATATTTTCTTGGAATCCATCGAATGTTAATTAATTTCATACTGAAGCATGCTACTCTCGTAACATTTAAAAGATGAAAATAATGTCTGCACACGAGCCTTAATTTTTGTCACAGTAAGCAGGTGCAACTATACAATCCATCGAAAAGGCAAAAAATCATATGATTGACATTGCATCCAATAATCCAAGAAATTTTCCAAACTTCTTCAATATTAGCTTTATCCAATTGATTTAAAAGAAATTTTGCACACACAAGAACACTATCTGGCTCATCTTCAAAACTTTCGCTTTCAGATGGCTCATCTGCTAGTGTATTCTCAACTTCTTCAATACTAGAACAGTATGCAGTATAATAAACACATTCCTTCATTTGGTTGATTATATGTTGTGCAACATTTTGGCACAGATAACATGAAACAATTGCCTCTATTGGAGGAAAAATTGTTATGTATTTCGTAGTCAAAGGAACGTCTCTTACTAAATTTTCATATTTTTTCTGGTTTATCCTATTTTCAGCTTGGTTTATAAGAATTTTACTGAGCTCACAAAGAGACATATTACTACTCTCAAGAACACGCTTAATACATGCGTTTTGACTCTCTACAAAGGAAGTAGACTCAATCTCAAGAGTGAACAATGTTGCTATGAATTCTCGTGCCCAAGACTTACGTCTTTCATATAAGTACCTTTCAAGATATTGCTTCGCCAATAGATACTTACTAATCATTTTGTTCCAATAATAATCAAAACTTTCAGGTGTATCACTATTTCGACACTTCCAGAATGCAGAGTAAAAATCATCAAATTCCGCACCCAATTTTCCACGGAGCATCTTTTTAAGATTCTCTTTAATGTGCCATATACAAAAAAGGTGCCGAGTAGTTGAACATTCAATCAAAACAGCACGTTCCATAGCAGGGTCACCATCAGTGATAATTACACCGGGCATTTTTTCTCTTGTTGCTTTCTTTAACATACGTAGTGTCCATTGATATGATTCAGTAGTCTTATCGCTTAGAAGGGCTTGTGTGACTATTTGAGACTTCATATTGTTATCACGAGCTACAAAGAGAGACAATGGCATACGGTAACGATTTGTTCCTGATATGTTATCATAATCTATAGATTCACTAAACTTATGCCATAAAATTATTTGGTCCAGGCTCATCCAAAATATGCCAGTAAGTGTACTTGTTTCAACTTCCCATGTTACTTCTACAAACCAACGAGGATCTTGGCATTGTTTGGTGAGTAATTCTTCATAGAATCTTGCTGCATCACCCTGATTAAATTGCGCTGTTGGTTTGTATTTTTGAATTTCCTTGTATAGATCCTTAGAAAAGACTGGGTGGAAAGAATACTTCTGCTTAAGGATCCGCCAAATTAATGTTGCACCAAAATGACACTGCCTAATATAAAATTCGACATCATCTCTCATCTCTTTTGTAAACACCTTATCTCTTTCGAACTGAAGCGCTTCTGGACACATTTCGTGATTATGTTCATCATTCAGTGTTGTTATGTAGACATAATTATTTGAATTTTGCTTTGATGGTCGCGAGAGATTAACATGCCATGGACATTCTAATTTAATTGATTTTCCTGATTTTGTAGAGTTTTTTAATTGATATCGACCTGAATGGTGACAGAGAATCGTTCTTTTTCGCATAATTTTTCCATTTTCTGTTTCAATCATAGTACTCTGGCCCAACTTTGTCTTGAATCCTTTGAACTCAGCATAACCTCTTATTTGTTGTTCTGCATCATCAAAATTGAAAAATGATTTCACTTCTTTTAACGTAATCACTTCAGCATCCATATTTACATCCTCCACGTCTACAATATCTACACTACCACGATATGCTTCTTCATAATAATCTACTACATTAATTTCACTATCATCTATGCCATTATATTCGTTAGTTTCACTATTATCTGCAGCATTACTTGTGTTGATTTCGTTGGTTTTACTATTCTTTATGGTGTTACTTGCATCGATTTCATTATTTGCTACCATATTATTTTCATTCTAATTGTTGTTCACGATTTCTTCTATACTAACATGTTTCTTTATTTGTTTATAGTTTTGAGAAAAGAAAACTGAATCTGTGGTGATGTTATTGGTATTTACAGTATCGCTTGTATTAATTTCAATTTGATAATTTATACTATAGTTTGCTCTTGTAATGGGTTCTATTTTATTTAAAAAAGAGAAACATCATAATAAAAATAACTTTATTTATTTTATATATACAGTATGTGTGTGTTATAGATCACTGATGTAATCATTGATTTAATTTTTATTACTGTTTATCACTTTATAATACCGATGCACTGAGTGCACTATGCATCAAATTATAAAACCCATATTTATTTATATATTTGTTGTTTTAAATAAAAAAAAAATTTAATAAAAAGAGAAGAAATAGTATAATAAGGAATAAAAGTTTGTGAATAGTAATAATAAGATTAATAAAAATTAAACCAAATAGAATAAAAACAAAAAAAAGTATATATAAAGTTGTACAGTTTAAAACTATTAAGTATAAGAATTTTTTTATATATATTAAAAACAAAATTAGTAAATATATCAAGAAATATTATGTTTAAAATAAAGTTAAAAGAATTAGAGATTAGATAGTAAATTGATTAAGTAAAAGAACAAATGACTCAATAAAATGAAAAACTAGTTTGATTATATTAATAATAATAAAAAAAATAAAAGGTTTATATTTATAGAAACTATAAAAAACAAATAGTTTATTTATAAAATTTTAATATAAAAGAGGTTTAAAATAAATAAATAAAAGTTATAAAGATTTTTTAGTTATTATTAATATAAGGCTATATAGTTTCTTAGTTAATATTAAATGCAATAGTAAACTATTGTTAAAAATAATATTAAGATATTCAAAGTGTTATAATATAAGCTTAATATATAATTTAAATAAAATAATAAATAAAAATTTTAATAAGAAATTAGTCAATAAATAAAATATAAGTGAGATTATAAATATTGTTAGTTAAAAATATCAAATAAGATAATATTTATAGTTATAAACAAGTTAGCAAAATTATTAAATAGATCATTATAATATGTAGTAATTTTGTAAAAAATAAGCTATTAATAAGAGTTTATCAAATAAAAAAAATAAAGTATATGTATAATTAAGAATAAATACTAATTAACAAATATTATAATATTTAGAAATTACTAATTATAAATTAATAAATATATAAACCAAGTAGTACCTAAAAACAATAATAATTTTTAAAAAGATAACAAGAATTTTAGCTTTAAAGAAGCATAACCAAAGTTAACTTGTGTCTAAAATAAATGAATAATTATAGAGTTGTTAACTTAAATTCAACTTATAATTATAAAGTATTAAAAAGTACTAAGATCAATAACAGAATTATTAATATAGAATAAAATAGATAATAAATTATAATTTGAATTAGTAATAGTTTGAAAACTATTAGAGAGTTGATGTAATTGACAAATAAAAAACAGTTATTGTGAATTAATTATCAATAAAAAAAAAATAAAATATATAAGAGATATTAAAGAGCAATAGAATATATGATATCAAAAAAATTTGTATAAAAATTAAGATTTTGTTAGAATTAATATAACAAAGTAGTCTGGTAACCAGATTAGTAAGGATGAAAATAGTATATTTGTTAGCAATTATGTTTAAGTTAAAATAGCATCTAGTATATAATATAATAATAGAAAAAAAAGTAAAATAAAGATTAAAAAACTAGATCTAAAATAAGCAATATTAGTAGGTAATAAGAATAAGATCAGTAGAAGTATTGTTTTTTGGTCTTTTGATTATTAAGAATAATAAATAATCAAGCTTTGGTATTAAAGATAAAATAATTAATAGTATAACAAAAGTAGTTTATAAAAAATAAATTGTAATAATTATATAAGATATATTGATAGAAATGCTTTGTAGTAATGTTCTTAAAAATAGTAAACCATTAAAATATATTACCTTTAGAGAGTTTATTAAGTCTAAATGAAATGTGTTACTAATGTAATAGATATAAATTATTATAAGCAGTAAGTTGGTTAAGAAAAGAAGTTTATAGTATTTAAGTTGTTTTTCAAAAATAAGATATTTAAAATAAAAAGAAAAAAAAATTTAAAAAAGATGATTTTATTATTTAGAATATATAAAATGTCATAGATTGGGCTGGTTAATAATATATATAAATATATTTTAGTATATTTAGTATATTTACTAATAAATATATTAAAATATTTATATTATCTAGTAAATAAATTATTATTTATAGAAGGGTATAGAGACTAATAGTAGTTTGTAAGCTGTTAGCTTTCAAATAACAGATTTAATATTTAAATTATATTAGCAATCTTAAATATATCAAATCTAATAACTTAAAAGCTTAGAGCATTTATATAAAATATAATATTAAATATATATAAAGGAATACTTATCATTATCTAATAGTTTTTTATGATTAGACTATCAGAATAACTCCTGTTATTGGATGCTTTACATTCAATAACTATATATTATTGTATAAAATTTTAATATAAACTTATAATAAAACTACTAGATATAGAAAACTAAGAAGCTAAAAAAATAAAATCTTACTTAAATTTTATAAATAAAAAAGTAGTATAAATTTTTAATAATATTATTAAATTGATAAAAATTATCAAAAATCTTTAAAAGTATAATCAAATAAATAAGACAATAAAATATATATAGAAAAGCATATAAGCAACTAGGCTATCAAATTTATTAAAAGAAAAAAATACAAAAGTATACTATATCAGACTATTTAGATTAGTAATTTAAAAAGTTTGTCAATTTTGAGTAGTAATTAGTAGAATATAATAAAAAAATATTAAAAAAATAAGTATTAAATTTTAGTAAACTTTATAAAAGTAATAATAATATAATAATAGTAATTTAACAGAATATTTGTAATATGTTATATAAAACTAAGTTAGCCATAAGGATGTGATAACCTATTGAAATAGACAAATTGTTAATTTCTAAGTGGCAGGTTTAAAGTTTAAATTTTAGTAATAGTGAAAATTTGCAATTTTTTTTGTACTATGATTAACTGTCTTCTGTAATTAGTTAAGATTAGATACCTGTAACCTTTGTTATACTAGCATGACTGAAAGGTCTAGACATTTGTATAATATTGTATAAAGGAACACAAACTGGTATCAGATATATAAACTTATAATAAGTCTTTAGGCTATATAAATCACGGAACCATATAAAAAGATAGAAGCCTATTTGGAAGATCTGAGTAAAGATATAGCTCAAACTTTTAATAATATTACTATAAAGACTAGATCTATGAAACAGAGCTAAAACTTATGAAACTAGGCAAATGCTGGTCTTTAAAAAGAGGCTGAATAAAAAAAACCAGGCTGCTAGAATCTATTTGAAAGAAAAAAATTTCATGTTAGAGAATATGTAAACTAAAGATAAAATACAATTTATCTCTCTAAACTATCTGGTTTGAGTCTTGATAAAACTTAAATCGAATATTAAAGCAGTAAAGATATATTGTAAAGTCAATACTAAAGTTGAAGTAAACTCTACAAAAGCATAGCAGTTTAATAGTACATTCTAACTGCAAATGTTAATCTCAGTTATAACAATATTAAGTTAACTGTAAAAATAAAATACAGAAGATTTTAGAAGATTTAGTACAAGGTCAAAGGTTCTTTATATAAGTATAAAAATATATTGTAAAGTCAGTACTAAAGTTGAAGTAAACTCTACAAAAGCATAGCAGTTTAATAGTACATTCTAACTGCAAATGTTAATCTCAGCTATAACAATATTAGGTTAACTGTAAAAATAAAATACAGAAGATTTTAGAAGATTTAGTACAAGGTCAAAGGTTTTCTATATAAGTAAACTGCTTTAAAGACTTAGTAGTTATAGCATATTTTTACTAGCATCAGTCAAGGTCATTGGTATACAGAGATAAATAAATAAATACAGAAACTAGAGTGTTTAAATAGAGAATCTACAAGTAGGTTTCAGATATGGCAGCTAGTGTAGAACCTTTAGATGAACTACTTAAATTAGACAATAACTAAAGTTGTACAAATAATTAGTTGTATACTCTTTCTATGATGCCCTCTGTGGTTGTAATGCAACTATTAGCTAAATATACTATTAATAAAATTCTAGATTACAAGTACTTATTTTAATATTTAAAAAAAAACTAAGTTAGTTGTATATGAGGTATAAAAGACTTTAATAAGTTTTTTATTAAGAATAAAATAATTCTAAGAATACCAATATATATTGAAAACTTCGAATAGATTATACTTTAAAAATATTTATATAATACAAGTTAGATTGTATATGCAGAGAATTTAAATAAACAAGACTTATAGTTGACTTGCAAAAATAGCATCAAGTATAGAACTTGTATAGTAATATATAAACAAACTATTAAATTAGATACCAAAAGTGCATGTTTAGCTAGCTGTAATCTTCTATAAAAAGAAAGTTTTTAAACTTTATGTTTATAATAACTTGAATAAAATTACTTTTTGAAGACAAAATATTAATATAAATATTATTATTTGTACTATATATATATTATATAAAATATTATTTAGTTAAAATTAAAAAATTTTAACTAATATTTAATTGTCAAATTATTTATATGAAACATAAAACATAAATTAATTTCAAATAATATTAATCTTAAACATGGTTTTTAAATATAAGTAATAGAAAAACTTCTAAATTAAAAAAATAAAATAACAATTAATACAGTTAATAATATGTTAAATTTTATAAAATAGAATTAGTAAAAAATACTTAAAGATTTTATTAATAAATAAAATTTATTTTGAACATTTTTACTTAATACATCTGACCCTCATCCCGGTGACGATCATGCCGGTTATAGTTAGTAAAATTCGTTTTCATAAATTGACAATAATGATTGGCTAATTTTATTGAGTCAATTGTGATTGGTTAAAAATTATATATAAATTTCTTATTATATTGTTATAACTATTTAAAAAGTAAAAATCTTTTCAAGAAAAATTATAGCTTCTACAAATTAGCATAGTTTTTAATTTTATATTATTTTTAAGATACAACAATTTTTGTAGAAAATACATAAAAACATGCTGATTTATGCTGTCCCGTATTTTAGGTATACATGTGTGCCGAAATTGCCCATCTTACAGCTGTTCTCATAAATTCTGGGACAATTGATAAAAATTGATCTGCCGAATTCGAATGCGGTGTTATCGAATTACTGTAATGCCGAAAATCCAATTCCGATAACACCGAATTCAAAAACTTATCGAATTCGGCAGATCAATTTTTATCAATTGTCCCAGAATTTATGAGAACAGCTACAATTACGGCATTTTGGCAGCCGAAATTAGTCTTATACAGTGTAGTGCCGAACTCTTTTTATCAAAATACATCATATAATATAATTATTTCAGTGGGTTTCATATAAAAAATTTAGCAATGCCGAATTGTTGCTGAAAATACTTTTTTCGAAAATAATTTCGGCACACATGGTTATCGGATATTACTTATGGGACCAACGTACTTTAATGTTATGGCAGGTTATCGGTTTTGGGAGTGCCGACAGTAAATTGGACTATAATTGTTTTTTACAACAATTTTAGTTGGTCATTAGTTGCATAAAAAATTAATTCATCGGTACCCATGAATATAAAGAATGTCTACTAAACATATAGTAAAAAAGGAAAAAATTTCAATAAATTTCTTGCGATTTATACAATCGATTTTAACAAATTTGTTATCATTAAAATCGTAATAACATGCTCTACAATTTTAATTAAAAATCCAAAGATATTTACTTAGTAAAAAACCCCACTTTCATTGTAGTAAAACGGGGATTCCATTATAAAAAATTTATAATAAGTTCTCATTATGATGCTTAGTAATGTTTGTGCCCTTTAACTGCAAGCTACCTCTTAATTAGTTTCGAATCTTATTCAATCAAAAGTTTTTTTGATTAACCAAACAAAGCAAAATTTTAATTATACTATTTGGTCTAGTGGAATAGTCCAGTCCAGTGACCAACACTGACTGTATCGCACTAATTAAAAGGATCACTTTTTCGTGTAAATGCCAGAGTGCAAAATAGAAGAATTCCATTAATCATGAACAGTCTTTTTAAAAATTAAACTACTTTTAATAACTTAAAAGTGTGTATCCACTTGGGATTTTTAATCTGTGTAATATAGTAATTTAATACAAATAAGTTTATTTTCTTAAATACCGTATTGTCTCGAAATAACGCGCCGGGTGTAGGTTAAAATTTTGACCAGAATTAATCGTAATGCGGCTTAATTTGGCTAAAGTTTTAACCCACTCTCCCGGGCGATATTTCGAGACAATACGGTACAATTTATTGAACAATTTACAGTATTTTACATTCAATTAGGTACATTTATGAATAAATATCTGGATTAATAATTTCTTCTTCCGCAGCCTTCTTATAACATTCAAATGCCTTTTCTTCATCAATTTTAATTCCTATTCCTGTATTATAACATTCACCAAGTTGTCCAAATGCTTTTAAATAACCACCCTTAATCGATTCTTGATATAAATCAAAAGCCTTTGTTTCATTTACAGCCGTTCCTTCACCATATTGATAATTCGTTGCAAGGTTATATTTTCCTATAGCTAAACCTTTTTCAGCAGCTTTTTGATAACATTCAAACGCTTTCCCAAAATTAACATCAGTTCCTATACCATTGGTATAACAATAACCAAGGTTATTAAATGCATCTATATAACCACCTTCGGCAGATTTCTGATAAGATTCAAAAGCTTTGGTTTTATTCATCTTGGTTCCTTTTCCATAACGATAATTAAAAGCCAGATTATATTGACCAACAGCAAAACCACCTTTGGCAACTTTTTGAAAACATTCAAAAGACTTTTTTTCATTAATTTGAGTTCCTTTGCCTTCAGAATAACAAACACCAAGGATATTATAAGCCTCAATGTAACCACCTTTAGCAGATTTTTGACCAAGTTCAAAAGCCTTTTTTTCATCTTTTGGGATCCATTTTCCACTATAATAACATAAAGCAAGAATATGTTGAACTATAGAACTTATTTGATTGTTCAAACACCAATTAATAATATCATTCGGTTTTTGTTGTTTTTCTACAAAAAAGTGTTCCATTGAATCAAAAATCATTGTGATATTTTTTCCTCTCTTTTTTTCTTTTATGTATAAATTACATAATTCTTTAGTAATTTCATAAAAGTTTGGAGAATCATTATTCATTTCAGGAATTTTCAAAACTTCAAGCCTTTTCACTATTTCTTGTATATTAGGACGTTTTATTGGATCATCTTGCCAACAATCTAATAATATATTATAGTTAGGCATATCAAATTAAAATGATGTTTCGGATGATGAAATTCGGATGATTATCAATAAAGTTATTAAATTTTCAATGTCAGAATTTCAACTATCATCCGCTACAGATAATATTTACATAAGCATATAGGTCATCTACCAGGAAAATCACTATCTAGCACTTGATTTCAAATAATGGTTTTTCTAGCAGAAGATCCATATACAGTTCACTCTCACTATAATGGATTGATAAGGCGGGAAATTTTCGTCAATTATAAAGAAGATTCGTTATATAATTATACAGTACTATAATGAAAGCTTTAAATTGTTCTAGTGAATCATCCCACTACAACGAGAGATCCGTTATAACGATTGTGAACTGTATTGTGGTTTATATTGTATGTATCCGTACATACCAGTATATAAAGCAATATAAGCCGTTTGAGCTTTTTCTATGAAGTCTATGCTGGCATCATTTAACATATCTATAGTTAATTCCGAAAGTTGGCATATTTCTTTTGTAGGCTTAAATGGAGGACGACTTTTAGATATTTCCCACATAAGTACGCCTAAACTATAGATATCAGACTTTTTTGCTACTCTATACGATTCTTCAGTTTGGAAGTGAGACATATTTTGCACAAAGTCTAAAAGCTTTAAATTATTCGCGTAGATGAAAATATTATCAGAATGCTGTAAATATTAATAAAAAGAAATTAGCGAGTATTACGAAAAAAAAACCAAATAATCAATAAAAAGTATGTAATTACAAGGTTCCCATGTATAATTTCATTTTCATGCATAAACTTAATTGCATCTGCAAGCTGTTGTGCAATATCTAATTTACGTGCCCAACTAAGCTTATCAAAATTACTTTGTAAGTAGGTTTTCAATATTCCGCCATCAGGATATTTGAGAATTAAAATGAATCGAAGCCCATAATTATCTAAAAAAAATAAAAAATAAAATAATATATATTAATAATCTTGCATAAAAAAAAATTTGGCACAAGAAATCGAAAACTCAATATAAAACACAGGATTGGCCATTTGTTTAATACTATCTATATAACATTGCTTTATGGTTGACACCAAATTTTTATTAATTGTGATTCTGTCTTTATATCCAAACGTCGTAGCAAATTTATTAACAAATGATTACAGAACTCTAATTAAAATTGTGCTCACCTTCTTTCTTAGTAATGTTATAAAATTTAATAATGTTATTTGGTTGCGATTTAAACTGAATTCAGATAAAATTAGCAATGATATAATTTAATAAATTTCACAAAATAAATGCTAAAGTCTACCTCGCTGGCAATTTCCTTAATATTAGTTACGTCATTATCTTTATATGATTTTGGAGAAAAGTCTGAACTAAAACGTTTGGTAACTACATGAAAACCTTTTTTAAAGATTTCAAGTTCGGTAACTTGAGTATTGGCGAATGTTGAGTAACGTTTGGAACATTTGTTATTAAAATTTCTTTCTACTCGCTCGAAAAATAAACTCTTTTGTACATAAGATGAAGTTTTAATAAAGCTTGGCATTTTAGCAGAATCTATAATTTAAATTTGAACGTGGAGATACGAATTGAGGCTTCGCACTCGATATAATTTTAATTTGTTTCTTTGTTACACTTATGTAATGCGACAGTGGTTTTGTATTACTTAGATTTTGTTTTTGGCAGTGGTTTATTATTATAGTGTCGATTTTCGATGAATATCTCTATTTCTCTTATTAAGTAATGTATGTTACACTGGAATCAAGTTGTCGTGCATACGTATACATGGGTGTCTAAGTTCTCTTAACCTTTGTTCCGCTTGCATATTTAACTATCGCTATTGTAAGACCCTGTTAATTAATAGAGTTGATTGAGTAAATAAATTCCTAGTCTATCGAAATAAAACGCCATCGTTACAAAAAATTAGCGAAATTTATTCCTTATACCAAAATACATTAAATAGTGTAGTGATTTTGAGAAATTTATATAAAAAATTTAACAATGTTTAGAAATAACTAGACACATATTTATAATGTATTGGTGTGTTACATATTAAATGATTTATGCAACAATATCGCTTATTATTGATTATGTTAAATTTTTATCCTTGATTGACCATCTTGCTTCATAGGTAATTTTATAATTAGAAAAGACTTCTAAAAGATTTTTTACTATCGGGTTTAGACATCAATTTCGGATACCCCTATTAAGAACGTACTCACCCTAAATAATAATAATTAATTAACAATTATTTAAAATTAGGTGCGTTCTTGACAGGGATGTCCGAAATTGATGTCCAAAGCCGATAAGTCAGCAAACTATGTTACCGATTTTAACTTATTGATTTCATTGATTGATTTTAGAGTAAAGAATAACCCAAATTTTTTGAATTTTTATAAGTTGAAAATCTAGTAACATGGTTTTGAAGTCACGTAATTGTATGCGTATGACGATGAGGATAGGAGTCATCAACTCATCGGTCGTTTTATCGACTATTAGTTACCTAGCCGACCAATTCAATTGATCAACTAGTTGTGCGGTAAATAGTAATTCCTAAAATGGTACCGTTTCATTTCACAGACATTCACTTCACCAACAGCCTAGTTCATCGACAATTAATTCACAGACAAGTTTATTTCACAGACAAGGTAATTCTGGTCATTGTCGTTAAACACTTGTCGGTATCTGTAAAACATACTGTCAGTGAAATGAATTTGTCCGTGAAATAATTCGGTGAACTAAGTTGTCGGTGAAATGATAAAGATTCTATTAAGGTACCTACCATCAATTTGTTAAACAGTAAATTACCAGACCCGGAGAAGATATTAATCAACTTTTAAGACCTAGAAATGTGGGTACTACATATTTGGTCAAATATAAGTGTATCTCCAATCAAAATGATTAGCGAAGTCGCATGGGGTGGACATCAAAAAAGCCATCCCTCTCGCGCAAAACGTACATTCTTGATATTACTTTTTTGATACATCTAAATATACCCCAAGTCTAACCAATAAGATCGCACGTTATTATAGTAAAAAGTATAGAAATTTTAGGGTACGTTCAGATGTATCAAATAAGTAGATGCAGAAGTATCAAAAATGAATGTTTTGCCCCTCTCGCATTTCATGTTACACATTCATGTGATCATACTGGTATTACAGTATTTTTTTTTTGTTACTCATATGAAGTTACATAACGATATGCAAATTTAGACTAGACTGATTGAATTTTAGTCGATATTTGGTTAGCCGATGACCAACCGCACCAATTTTAGTCGACTGGCTAACTAATTTTAGATGTTTAACCAATCTTTAATTGTATATATTAAGTTTTTATATATGACAAAATCATATGGTAAACCAATAGTGATGGTTGCATTATTATAGTAAATCATATGTAATACTTCAATACCGCATAATTGTTGCAGGAGTGAACATTAATGTTACACGACTAATCCCTCACCTCGTGTACGGTCCATAAAAAAAATATTTTACAGTATTGGATCACTTTACCGTCAATGTTATAGATATAATCCTTCACCCGTTGGATTAATTGTGCAACATTGACGTTTCCTCCTGTTGTTATCGCTGCTCATCGCTACTCATCACAGCTTTTCGCTACTCATACCATTCATATGTATACAACAATGTTGTCGTAGAACGGCTTTCGACATGAGTTTGGACCTTTTTGAACATTTTAATAAATAAAATTATCAAAATTTATTCAGATAACTCATTTTAATTTTTAAAATGTTCAAAACTAAAAAAAAAAAAAATATAAGGCGGAAGAGTATTTTGCCAAATTTATGTATCTCGTGTACCAATAATCGGATTTGACGAAATTAATTGATGCAAAAGTTATTCAAATAAAGCTACCATCCTCAGAATACTATTATATTGCATAAATGCGTGATGTAAAAGTCATTCAAATCCAATCGTGGAGTCACAAGCTACCGTCCTCAGAATAATATTATATTGCATGAATGCATACTATAATGAAAATGGTATTTTGACGAATTGTTTTTACGTGATGTGAAAATTTCCCGAAGCTGATCACTAGTTTAGGGTGTATGTAATACTATATATATTGAAACTATGTATAGATCCATATTAAAATATCATATTTATTTTTTTGTATAACATTAGTGATTGGACCTATTCAAAAAAAAATGCTATCCCCGGGTTGAACTTGCGGGTCATCCGTTTGATCGACGGGTTGACCCGGGTATAAATTCTACCTGGATCAACCCGATCACAGTCATATTAATATTGAAAACATTTATTAGGTTCGATTATAATGTGTGATCCATAACATCATATTAAAATACCTACCATTAAGTGTTTGTCTTTTTGTAATTTACTTTAAACACAAGAAATTATATATTACTTAAAAAGAATTAATTTCTCTAAATACAGCACAGACACGTATATTAGCTATGTTGAGAAAGTACAAGCTGTGTTAGAATACTTGCAGGATCAATATCTAATAACTCACTAAACCCAACTCTAATATCGGTAAGGTTATGATCAAGGCATGGAAAGACTTGGTCCGAGTAACAATGGTTATTGGGGATTATAGAGATAGAGTCAGTAACAGATAAGTTCTTTTTTTACTTTTACTTAGGAATTTAATCACTTTTTTTACTGTTTTACTAAAACTTCTTTCATTAAGGTTACTACATTTGTGAATTTAATTTCAATGTCATGTAATTACAGGGTTATAATCTAGGTCAGTTGCAAGGGTATTGATTTTCGATAATAAATTAATCACAAGTTAGTATAGGTGGACATACATAATTATAATATAACTAGCAGTAATTCATAGGGTTGTTATGAGAACTTACAAAGATTATTATATATATTTTTAAAATAAGCTATTATTAAAAAGAAAATACTTTTTTTATTTAAATTGAAAATTTAAAAAAATTATTTATAGTTAAAGTACAAATATTTATTAGATAATTTCTATCTTTTTAAAATGATATGTTTTCCTCTTCTATTCAATATTAAATAACTAATCAAATTTAAGTAAATATATATTATATAGTATTATACGTATTAATTAGTAATTTTTTACATATTATTATAATCTTTAATTTACTATACTAATCAATTTTAAGAATTTAAGTAAAGTTATTCTTTTATACAAAATACTTCTAGTTTTACAAAACATCTTTTATAATTAATTTATTAAAATTTTAAGTTATTAAGTTTCAAAGTTAAACAAATATAAATTATTACTAAATATAATAATTCATAAATAAAAAATTTATTAGTTTACACGTAGTGTTTATACTAGTGATTTGAACCGAAAAAAATCCTCAATCGGTTAACCGAACCGGCCTATTTTATGTCAACCGATTACAAACGGTTGAAATTAATAATCTCTACTTCTTGTTCTTACCTCGGAAATTTCCGGAGCTTAAAATTTTGATTCACCCTGCTTGTCTTTTATGTTCATTCAGTTTCCTTTCGGACCTTTTCGGAATCTTTGCTCTCTCTTGGTCATTTACATAGTTTATCGATCCTACCAACTGGTTACCCGATTCTCGACCAGTTGTAACGATTAAAAATTTGCTCAACCGGTTATTCGACATTTATTTGGGTCAGATCGGTTAACCGATTCAAATCACTAGTTTATACATAGCTATAATTTATTGAATTACAACTTCGTGTAATATAGCATCAAACCAATTTTACGAATGAAAAAATAAATCCTTGCTCATGATTAGGGTAAAGGTGGGTTTGGGATTGGGCAAGATATAGCTTATACCAAAATTGCGCAAGAAAATTTTTTGCTAAAAGCCAAAAGGTGGTTTCATAATCAAAATTTTGAGATATTGGTCGGTTTTTATATTGCCGTGTACATACACCC